GTGGTTGTTGAGCATGATGTACATAATGAGACTGTTTAGACTGATTAAGTCCCTCTCTAGAGATTTGCCTTCCTGTGCAGCATTTTTATTATTGCTACAGAATGTAGCATACTTATCTGTGGCTGCAGGGACTGCACAGTCTGTGTGGGATGAAGGTTAATGTGGGCCCAGCAAACTGAGTTTTATTGCATTAGTCGTAAATGGCATTTCAAAATACAGGAGGCTTGTGATATAAACAGGTTGTGGGAAATGTTGGTTTTGTTCAGTTGTGCACCCTCCTTCCTGTCCTGTTGTTTGATGCTTTCATTTGTCTCCTTGAGTTGGACATTTGGAAGGTTGAAAATGGGTTTGGAGGCTGAGGTTATGAAAGGAACAGTGTGAGTGTGCTTGGTGCAGTGCGCTGGGTGAATTGGCTGGTAAACGAGACACAGGCTGCAAAGCCTGTAGATGGCAAATGCTGATGGCAGTTGAAGCAAATTGGTAACTTTTGCTCTACCCTTCAAATCAGTTAATCACAACACAATGATGTCCTCTGCAGTCAGTGACTTCTGGGTCATTTTGGCTGTTTCATACCCATTTTTAAGGGCAGCCTGGAATGAGCTATAGCTGTGAAGAGTGGTAATCAAAGTCTCCATGTGTGTTTCTTAGTGCAGTTAGCCTATAGATTTAGTCATCGATCCTGCTGCAATTCCTTTTATAACACTTCCCATAAGGCCTGCCAGATGTCTTCTTTGTAGACTGAAGGAAGGGACAAGCCCTCCCTGCAATAAATTTCTACCTATTGTTACAATAGTGCTCTTACCCTTCCTTAGTGATATGGTGAAATAGTGATTTTGTTGCCAGAGAAAAGTTGACTGAGTAATGCTCATGAAAGAAATAAGGGGATAAATTGTGGAAATCACCAGCTATCTGGAGAGTCTCCTATAACATGCAAATATGATGGCGGCAAATGTTGCCTCAGTTCTGCACTGAGGCAGGCAGAAATGCTTTAGCTTCCTCTCTTAATCAGCCTTCCTTTCTGGGAACTCAGGGACCCAAAGTCTTCCCATAAAAGACTGAAACCCCCGTGGAAGAGTGGGGAGCAATGCCATTCTGGAGGAAGGCCCTGCAAAAGATAAAGGTACTCTTCCTCACTCTGGCATTGTGGTTTTTAAGGATATTGGGTGGATCAGTTCCATGGAAAGATGATCTGGTTTTTAGCTGATTGGGAAAGGTGCATAGCATCCACTTTTAGAGGTTCACAGATGCTGCAGGATCGCAGGCAGCCCAGCAGGTGTGGGCTGAGTGAAGATGGGAGCACAGATGGTTTAATGGAGATTATCCCAGTTGGAAACATGCTTGTG